GTAGTATTTATACATTTATTACACATGAGGTCAGGGGATGTTCATGATCTTATGTAATTATATAGATAATTGTTCAATGGGCACTATTTTTTCGAATGTGAATTCTATAGCCCCAGCAATAGGTCACCTTCTCGAAGAGTTCATGGCAAGCCATGTCGAAGAAATGGTCGATACCTGGACGGCAAGCACCATGAACTTGGGACTCAGCCAACTTCACGTGGCATGGCTAGGCCATGTTTCTGGATCCAACCACCAGGGTTTCATGACGAAAAAAAACCACATAGGAATACCATATGAACCAAACAGGTTCCCCTAAAATCCCCTTCAAAATCATAGCTTTAAGTGAGCCATAGTCCATATTTTGGCTGGTTAAACCACCACTCTGTTGAAACATGTTGAAACCCCATTGTAACCAATCGCGACATCTGACATAGCAATTTTGAACATCGCAATGTCCAACCTAGGATGGACCTGGTCTGCTAAAGCTGGCGGGCAGCCACTTGCCATCCTGCTACAAGAAGTGGGGGCAGCCCAGGAGAAACTCCCCGGAGAAACTCGCGCATGTAGTTGCCTACACTGCAATCGCCTGTTCCCAATGTATTTTTGTTTTTGAAAGGTCTGGTTGATGATTGGTGGTTTCCCACTCAATCCTAGTGACGCTTCGAGTTTAAAAATTCTGAATGCAAAAAGACATGTCCTGTCGGTTTCAGGGCGGTCATACATTCTATGGGTTGGGAAATGACCCCCAGAGCATGTCACGGAAGGGTCCCACGAGGATGGGGTTTGCTACCCCTCTTTAAAATGAAAGGCACTGGCTGAAGGTAGAAGCATTTTTTTCAGTGGATAGTCATGGGTTATTGTGAGACCCTACAAGATTGACACTTGCCGCGCACTTTGGTAAATGCGTGGGCATCATCATCAACAGCTCTGGATTTCACAAGTAAGTAAGGGCATCGACAATATCAATGCTATTTTTAGCAATCATCCATACTTGTCAAATACAACAAGTGATCATTGAATATCATCAGCTATCATCAACCACCATCAATGATAATCATGTTCCTCCATGTCATCACAATAATAAATAAATATATATATATACAATAATCATCAGCAATCGGATGTTTTAATAGTACAACAGTACAATATAGTACAATTGATGAAAATAAGAAAATTATATCATCATGAATAATGTGTGATTTCAATTCATTTCATTTTTCACCTTAGTATCTGCACTATGCTGCCATGCACGGCTCCGCCGCTGCGCTGAAATTCCAGGTATGCCAAGACTTCGGTCCTCACCAATCAGCTCATCCGCGGACCAGCCTTTGAGTTGGAGGAACGATGCCGCATATGGAGACGATAATTACTGTGGATGGAAGGAAAAAAAACCTGCAGTTGGGATTCCTCTTGGGCTTCCCATGAAACACTGGGACTATAAGGGGATTTCTTCCATCTACCAACTGGTGCAGGATTTCGTAACCATGCGCAATGTTTCATCAAGGGCCCGAAATGCACAACAAACTCCCAGTTCGATGTTTGCGCTTAAAAAATCCGCGAGGATAAAAGGAACTTTGTCTCTTTGGCGGATGCTCTGGCATGGGTCCGTGCCTGGATCCCCGGCTGGGGCGGGGCTGGGCCCAGGGGTGGGATTGTTCTTCTTGTGGATACGGACATTTTTGCAAAGTGCTGCAATCAGGTCAATGCATTCAGCCCATTAAATACGGGTTGCAAAATCAATCCGATTTGAGCACAAAATATACTATATAGAATACGCAATTAATTTCGCATATGTTAAACTATATTTATAAATTTCAAATATACATATATATAATCGAATAGAATACAATATAATCTAGTCTAATACAATATAATGGAAGAAATATGATACAATTCAATTTAAAATAATATAATCTATATAATATAATATACTACAATATAATATAATATAAAAAGATAATATATAAGATAATACAATATGTAATATTATTTAATATAACATAATTAATAATAATATATAGTAATATATCATATATAATTTAAAAATATGATAATATAATAGTATAATAACATAATAATATGATATAATGATATAATATAACAATATGTTTTAAAAATATAATATGATATGATATATAATTTTATTTATTATAATATAATTTAATGTAACATAACATCATGTAATATAATATAATATGATATAATATAAATTAAAAGAAAATAGTTTAATATAATAAGATAATTATATATAATGTATTTATTTTAACTTACTGTCATATAATTTAATGCAATATAATGTCATGTAGTATAATACAACATGATATGATATAAAATTATTTTACTATAATAATAACCATATAACACATAAAAGATAACCTATATATGCGCATCAGGTTTTGGAAGGCTTGGGTTTGCACTGATCATTTCTTATCACCATGTTATTTTGGCTCAAGTGCCTTGATCCAAAATAGCATCATTTTTGCTTTTTGGATCTCATTTGGATTGTGGAGTGACCACTGAATCTTTTTTCGCCCTTTGTACCTGTTGGGTAGAGTGACTACTCTTTGGGTACATGACCACGCCTGGCATTCACGTGGCGGTCCATACTGATGAGGCACTACTTTCTACGGGTGCTTGGATGGACTTCAGCCAGCACATCAATGCGCTGGTGCTTGGTGGACGACACGAAGAGGCCAGGGTCCTGCGGGGGTCTGTGTTTGAGGTGGTGCACATGGAAGTTGACCCATCCACACCAGTCCTCCAATCACTTGATATGCCCCCCCATTCGACGCATACCCTGTTGCAGAACCCCGGCTTCAGTTCCCTTTAATCGGGATTGGACCCGCAAAACTGTCTTCGCTCAAGAAGGGGGCACAGTTGCCTCAACTTGGGATAGGTGCCATGCCAATCCCCATGAGAAGTTGGACCTCCTGGCTGCGCAGGATCTATGCAGCCGGGACGGCCGTGGCGGACTTCATCCCAAGCACTTGGCGAAGCTCTCAGACCGCCTCGCCCTGGGCCTGGACGGAGTGTCTCAGAGCTGAATGTTCCCCAATGGAGGCTGTGGCAATGGGGTGACGGAGTTTGGTATGACCCCGCTTTCTTCATGCCGGAGCAGCACACCCGGAGTTGATGCGTGTACGTTTCTCCGGTTGCTCCTGGGGGCAGTCGATGCTGAGATTGACTTCATCCCGCCCATCTGCGTGGTGCACAACATGCCCAGGTTCTCGGAGTGCCCAGGGTGTGGGACACACTGGTGCGGCCTCAACAAGAGCTGCAGCTTATGAAGGTAGAGGAACTACCTGCTGCCGTCCCTCGGGCTATGAAGGCCTTGGTGAGGTCTGCTTGAGGGCCAACTGCACTTCCCAAGGAGTGACCTTGGATTTTGAAGAGAAGCCCCACACCTTGGTTCAGGTGGCATTGCCCCTTTGGTGTTGATTGAGGATCGAGGTGCGATCACCCCCTTCCGTTCTCATCGATGCTTTGCTACGTAGAGGACATGATTGAGGATTTCTTCGGCCTCAACAACTCAAACTGGAGGAGATTGCTTGGATGCTGGTTGGTGGGGGGCGGATGCAGCTGTCACCACAAGTGGCCGCTAGTGTTAGCTTTTGTTTTAGCCCTGAAGGAGTGCCCTTCACCATTCGAGATGTTCAAGATGCGGCCAGGAACATCTTTCCAGGCCATGTGGGGCCGCTTGAAGGGCTGACGACATACTCCTTCAGGCGGATCTTGCCGACAGTGGGCCACATGTTGCAGTTTTCATCTGGTTTGGGGGACTGGTTGGACAAGGATACAACCAAAGGCTGCAATGCCCCACCACTACTCGGCGGCAAAGAACCAGCAAAGCTTGAGGGTCAAGCACAGGGCCTACGAAGTGGCTTCGAAGTTGGCTGAATATGAGGCCAGGGAGATCATACCGAATGATGTGCTGCAGGACGCTGATAAGCAACCCCAGGTGAGGGTCAACAAGCTCATCCAGCAGGATCAAACCGTCATTTGGTCGATCCTTCAGACGCGGCGCAGCTCCAAGCTCAATTCCGCCTTTCAGAGGAGCTGACCTCTGCGGGGAGGAAGAAGAGGTCTTTGGAGCTACAAATCGATGCCCGAGGAGGACAAGATGCCAGGTGAGCTTAGAGGATTCATGTGCTCACCCAGACGTTCAAGTCGGGGGGCCAGGCTGTGCACCGCCTACAATGTGGATGACCCTGAGGTTTCAGCAGATGCAACCTGGACCCATGCCATCCTCCTCAGCAGCGGCTGAAGCCAAATCAGACGAGGAGTCCACGACGGATGAGAGTTCCTCATCGGAGATGTCGTTCACGGCACCTGCATCGAGCCGTCCTGAAACCGTTCTTCCAGTTTCCAAGAGGGCAAAAGCGGCTCCGAGGTGCGAGGGTAGAGAGAATCAAGGAGCGTGTGTTCCCCTTTGAGGTCACATGAGGCAAGGGAGCTCTTCAGGCTTGGACAGCAGGCCAATGGCCCTCTTAGCCGACAGTCTGCAGAGACAATTCTGTCTTACATTGGGAGACGCAAACGCTGGTGGATCCAACTCAAGGAATTTGACCCGGAGATGACAATGTCTACCCAGATGAGGGCAGAACTTCTCCTTGCGACGTCAGGGCTTACACGACAAGAACAACTCATGGTCAAGACTGCATGCCCAAAACCAAGCTTCGAGGGATACAGTGAGATCTTGTTGGAACACCATGGAAGAATCCATCTGAGGGATTCAAGAAGCTTGGCCCCTCCTTCAAAGCCCTTTCCAGTGAAAGGAGCAGGAAAGAACAAGGGAAGGGGATGGCACAGATCGGGCTACTTTGCAGGTGGCTATGATGGTCAAGAAGAAGAAGCAGCAGGTGATGAGAACAACTACGACTGGAATGAGGACTACGGTGAAGGAGCCTACGTTGGGTATAGTGATGAGCCCAGTACAGAAGACCCAGATGATTGCGACTGCATGGGTGTCAGATGAAGATCTTGGCATAGCACTGACAGCCATGGCTGCTTGTGACATGGACGAGACACCAACAGATGGTCTTGAAGAACTTGGAGAGGCTTGCCAGCACCAGTTGCAGGCCTACGCGGCTGTGGAACGTGCAAACGGGAAAGGAGCCTGCAAGGGATCAGGAAAGGGCAAGGACAAAGGCAAAGGGAAGGGCAAGAGGGTTGTGAAGACCCAATTGTCCATCCAAGACAGAAAAGTCAGACTTGCCAGTCTGAAGGAAAACAATCGTTGGAGTCCTATAAGCAACCACCGAAGAAGAGAGCCAAGAAGGGTGAGCAACTGCCTGAATCGGCTGCAGCGCCTAAGGCAGCTCCAGCCAGGCTGGAGATTTCAGCTGTGGTGCCCTTGAACACCCACGACCGTCGTTGGGACCAACTGGCAACAATCAAGGGCAAGTCCACCGGATCGTTGGCATTCCAACAGAGGCCACCAAGCAGTACTTCCCGAAAGTGGACTTGCAAGTATTCTGCATGGGAGAGACTCCCGCCGGGGAGTGACCCTCGATGGAGCCCATTTGAGGAAGCTCTTCCCCTTGATACGTCAATCGTCTGTACCAGGGAAACAAAGTGCTCTTCCACTGCATTGCAGGCCGACATCGGGCAGCAGCAGCTGGCACTGTGACCACGGCCATTATGGGGCGCCAGACTCTTGAGGAGGCAGAGGAAGCGATCCTCCGCAGGCGTCCTATTCAGTTGCAAGCAGCCTTCAGAGATTGGAAGCTGTCAAACTGGGTCCACAAGGTTGTCCGTTCGACGACACTGGCAGCCCCATTGCCCAAGGCAGTGTTGTCCGTTCGACGACACTGGCAGCCCCATTGCCTAAGGCAGTGGCATGCGCGGCCTCTGAGAAGTCGCACGTGCACATCCTCTCCGAAGATGGGGGGAACATGGTGACGCTATGTGCTCATAAAAACAAAACCAAGCACGACCCCGGGAGTTGAAGGACCCCAACATCACGTCTGACAGGCTTGAAGCAATTGCATGGTCTTTACCGTTTTGTTCTCGGTGCCGAGACTGCGCCCGTGCCAGCTTTTTGCTGCAGTGATTTAATTCAAGTCCCATGTCTTCGTGACACGTCTAAGAACGGCTCTTTTTACCGAATTACCGGTATGCCAGCCTGAAGCTTGATGGTGCAGCTTGTGCATAGGGAAAAAAGTAGGTTGGTTTAGGGCCGCTTCTTGGAGTGTTGAGCCTCGCGTAGCTAGGGACATGTAACATGTCATACCCACTTGGCACATGGCTGAACAAGTGAACCAAATAAAGACATGTTTGGTATCCGTCTGTCCGGTCAGGTTCCGGGCAGTGACCAGGATCAGGTGGGCTGGCGAGGGAGCAGGAGAGTCCTGTCATGTCAAGTTGATTAATCCCCCCAATACTGTTACAAGGGGGCACGCCAAAGCCGTGTTGAGGCATCTTGGTTATACCCTTGTGCATGCAAGCCAGCTTGGGGTTCGCGCGTCATGGCTTTCACCCCGATTTCGAATGGCTCCCCCGAAGAGCGACTTCGTAAATTAGGGGAGCAGTTCTCATTAGAGAGGGATTCAGGACCTCGAGGAGTTCCGCTTCTTCCTTGACTGCGAGACGAAAGTCAGAAGTGGATCTCCAAGATCGGCTTAGGCGAGGAAGCCAACATCCAGGCAGCTCGAGTCAGGCGTGCATGGCATGCAGTCACCATGTACTACAAGACCTTCGAGCAGGATCGGTCGAAACACTGACCTGGACACGCTGCTGGACGATTCTGAGTTGAGGACCTACAAGCAGAACTTCTGGGTTAGGTACATGAGGTTTCCTAAGGAACAGTACCCTAGCGACGCCACAGTCTCTAGAGTTTCTAGCAACTGCTGACCACCAACAAGGAGCGCAAGCTCACGGAGGAGCCCGAGGCGGAGGAGCCTCATGCTGGCCTATGCACTGGCTGGTACTTCCAGAGTGACTGGAGCGCCGCCAGCAAAAGACGAAGAAGTTACGGGAGCTGATATAACTCAGTTCGGTGCCCCTGGACATCCTTATGAAGTACTTCGCCAGGGCCAAGCGAGTGACCATGCAGCTGCCACCGGCGAAAAGGCTGGGCTGGCTGCAGAACAAGGACACCGAAGAGAGGTCGGAATGGGTCTCCAAGTTTCGAGATGAAGGAGATTTACGAGGCAAGAAATGCACACTGGGCGACCACATCAGTGCAAGAGGTTGGACATCTCGTTCCAGATGGGTCAGAAGGTGAACGGCAAGGCGGTGGCCAAGACCATGCGAGATGGTACTCTCTTGTGCCCAGCATTTCAACAGGGTAATTGCAAAGTCAAAGGAGTATCTTGCCCCAAAGGTGGGCATCGATGTGGAGTGGTGACACGTGGGCAGAGGACATGGAATTCAGCCAATCATGGAGCCTCTGCTTGCACTGTCAAGACGAAGGCTTGAAGGTCCTTTCCCCCAATTCGACTGGCTTTTGGATGCCTCGCACGACCTATCTGACCCTAGGCGCCAAGCGAGTTTGGGACCCTAGTTGGATCAATGTGCCTTCATAGCAGCTGCACTGGATTGCTCTAAAATCCAGAACCAGGGAGATTCCCAGAATTTTTGATGATGGGCGCAAGGCCCTTGCAGTTGCGGAGTGACCATACCCAGAGGGCTTGCTTAAAATTACACCCACAGACCAGACCCGTTTGGAGATGGACAATGCAGCTTGCAAGCAAGGACGACCCTGCCCGGAGCTTGCATTGGAGCAGCCACTGGCCTTTGGTTTGACACAGAAACTCAGCCTGCGTCTTTGCTTCAGCTAGAGCCAAGGCACAACGGTTACGACACATCACCGGAGATTGCTGCATGGGGGACCTTGCAGTGCCACCACACCCACCCTGAAACGGAATGAAAGCCTGTGCAAGTAGATGGAGTGACCATCTACCCTTCCGCTGCGGAAGCAGATATTCAGCTTCATTGGCTTTCTCCATTGCCATCTCAGTCTCTTGGTGGGCGGCAAGGCTGGGTTATGCGGTCTTGGCAATCCCCGGGCTCCGATCCACCCGGATGAAGCAGCGAGGGCTCCCCTAAAAGGCATGGTGTCTGACTTCTTGAGGGAAGGTGAACTACCAGACCACTGTGTTTATGTCGGGTAACGACACCACAGCCACCGCCTTCGCCGCACGAAATGGGCTTCTCTATTCACTCCAGGAAATGACGTTCCCCAATGGATCATGGAGACATTCCTGCACGACCTGCATGAGTTGCAGGGACGGACATGGTGTGCGACTGTCAGCATGGAGGTCCATGTGAAGCAGACATGCTGATGGGCATGGTTTTTGAGCTGAGCCACCTCTGTTGAGACGAGCAGTATTTAACCCCCAGATCAGCCAAGCCACAACGAAGACTCGTTATGTTCAGCAGAGTGTCTGCTGGACTTGCGCTCCCAAATCAGGTTTGGGAACTTTCTCAAGAAGAAGTGGTGCAGTGCTTTCGCAAGCTCTACCCATACGACTGCTTCTCAGGCTCCAAGTTCCCAATGATTGAGGACCTCGTCAATTCAGGCGGCGCCGGGGTTTTTGGTTTATTGATAATGCGGCCAGTTTGACATGCCTAATCAGAGGCAGGAGCGATGCTGGGGACTTGGAACGAATTGCCTAATTTATCCATATAGTGTTCTTCGTACTTGGGGCCGTCTTCTTCTGGGAATACATCTTAACGAAGTTAAACTGGTCTGATCCGCCAAGCAGGATTTTTGTAGATTTCAGTCATAGCTCTGTGTACAGCTCATAGACCTTCCCTTTCCAGCTATTGTGAAAATC